CTTGAAGATGATATTGGAGAAATGAGAGAGCTAGAGAGCAGGGATTACCTCCATTTTTTCCATCCTCTCCCCCTTGGCTTTGGGGGTCGGAGTCCTTATATAGTGGTGCCCAGTCACATCAGGCGTAACCACCACTGCCCAAGCCATTACTACCAGGACTGAGGTGACAGGTGCAGGCTGCTGCTATAGGGTACGGACTCGTCAGGCGTGCCATGCTTTTCAGAGACGGCAGGCACGACATCGCTTGGCAAGAGATGTGGGCATTGCCACCAGATCTGTCAGGTATGGTTGTCAGGCAGGAGATCTTCCTGCGATATGCCGAACTGCTCTTCTGCACAGAGCTACCCTACAAGTGGCGAGCTGCCTATGGCGACGAGCTCCCTAGTGGCTACTTGGTGACGAGCTCCTTGGCGAGCTCCCTGGAGAGTTGGCGAGCTCCTTGGAGAGCTGCCTAGCTCCTTGGTGGTGAGCTGCCTGGTGACGAGCTCCCTGGTGGTGAGCTACCTAGTGACGAGCTACTTGGTGACGAGCTACCTACTCCTAGGCGGCCTGTGACTCAGAGAATGGTGGAGCTCCCTGGTGCAGCGCAACCCGACTACCCTCTGCATGGGGTGATCTTCTCTCCTTTGTAGGCAGTGGAAGCTGAGAGACCTGCGAGAACTCCATCTTTTCCTCCTCTTTGTAGGCGGTGGGAGCAGAGGGACTTGCGAGAACTGAATCAGAGGACTCGGGGGTATTTTCCCGGCAGGGACTCTCCGACGCTTAAGTTAGCACTCTGATTGTAGAGAGCTTGAAGATGATATTGGAGAAATGAGAGAGCTAGAGAGCAAGGATTACCTCCATTTTTTCCATCCTCTACCCCTTGGCTTTGGAGGTCGGAGTCCTTATATAGTGGTGCCCAGTCACATCAGGCGTAACCAGCACTGCCCAAGCCATTACTGCCAGGACTGAGGTGACAGGTGCAGGCTGCTGCTGCAGGGTATAGACTCGTCAGGCGTGCCATGCTTTTTAGAGACGGCAGGCACGACGCCGCCTGGCAAGAGATTTGGGCGCTGCCACCAGATCTGTCAGGTACGATGACCGGCATTACGAAGTCGATGCAGCGCAGTCATAGCTCTAAGGCACCCAACTGATCGGCTCGGCACCTGGTCAGCTCGGCACCTTGTAGGTAGCTCGGCACCTAGGTATCTCGGCACCTAGTTAGATCGGCACCTGGTCAGCTCGGCACCTGGTCAGCTCAGTACCTCACTAGTAGCTCGGCACCTGGGTAGCTCGGCACCTGGTCAGCTCGGCACCTCACTAGTAGCTCGGCACCTGCTAAGCTCGGCGCCTCACAAGTAGCTCGGCACTTGGTCAGCCCGACACCTCAGGCAGCTCAGCACCTAGTCAGCTCGGCACCTGGTCAGCCCGACACCTCACAGGCAAAGCCTACGAGCCACATTACTGCTTAAGACCCGGTTGCCTCTTCGGCATGGGCAAAGTCAAGAAGAGTGGACTACAAGTCGCTCCCAAAGCCTACGGGCCACATTATTGCTAAATACCCAATTGCTTCCTCAGCATGGGCAAAATCAGCAAAAAGTGAACTATAAGTTGCCCCCAGAGCCTAAGGGCTACACTACTGAACTGGCGGAGACCTCCTCACCTTATAGGCAGCTCGCTACTTGCAGATAGCTCGCCACATACAAACGACTCCCAAGGCCTACGGAATTGGATCGGCACTTACTAGCTCGTCGACTTACAGGCCAAAAGAAGGATACTACCTTCACTGAGTTAATCTCAGCTCGGGAGTGGGGGGCAAATGATGAGGGCAGATTTGGCCCTCCAGTGAAATTGCGACACGTGGCACCTCGTGACAACTAGGCGGCAGCTCTCCAAGGAGCTAGGCAGCTCTCCAAGGAGCTCGGCAACTCACCAAGGAGCTCGCTAAGGAGCTCGGCAGCTCTCCAAAGAGCTCGCCAAGGAGCTTGCCAGCTCTCCAAGGAGCTCGCCAAGGAGCTAGGCAGCTCTCCAAGGACCTCGGCAACTCTCCAGGGAGCTCGTCACCAAGTAGCCACCAGGGAGCTCGTCGCCATAGGCAGCTCGCCACTTGTAGGGTAGCTCGGTACAGAAGAGCAGTTCGGCATATCGCAGGAAGATCTCCTGCCTGACAACCGTACCTGATAGATCTGGTGGCAGCGCCCACATCTCTTGCCAGGAGGCGTCGTACCTGCCGTCTCTGAAAAGCATGGCACGCTTGACGAGTCCGTACCCTGCAGCAGTAGCCTGCACCTGTCACCTCAGTCCTGGCAGTAATGGCTTGGGCAGTGGTGGTTACGCCTGATGTGACTGGGCACCACTATATAAGGACTCCGACCCCCAAAGCCAAGGGGGAGAGGATGGAAAAAATGGAGGTAATCCCTGCTCTCTAGCTCTCTCATTTCTCCAATATCATCTTCAAGCTCTCTACAATCAGAGTGCTAACTTAAGCGTCGGAGAGTCCCCGCCGGGAAAATACCCTCGAGTCCTCTGATTCAGTTCTCGCAGGTCCCTCTGCTCCCGCCGCCTACAAAGAGGAGGAAAAGATGGAGTTCTCACAGGTCCCTCAGCTCCCATTGCCTACAAAGGAGAGAAGATCACCTCATGTAGAGGGCAGTCGGGTTGCGCTACACCAGGGAGCTCCACCATTCTCGGAGTCACAGGCTGCCTTGGAGTAGGTAGCTCACCACCAGGGAGCTCGTCACCAAGTAGCTCACCACCAGGGAGCTCGTCACCAGGCAGCTCACCACCAGGGAGCTCGTCACCARGTAGCTCRCCACCAGGKAGCTCRYCACCAGGSAGCTCRYCACCARGKAGCTCRYCACCAGGKAGCTCGYCACCAGGYAGCTCACCACCAGGGAGCTCGTCACCAAGTAGCTCGTCACCAGGTAGCTCGCCACCAGATAGCTCACCACCAGGGAGCTCGTCACCAGGTAGCTCACCACCAGGGAGCTCGTCACCAGGCAGCTCACCACCAGGGATCTCGTCACCAGGTAGCTTGCCACCAGGTAGCTCACCACCAGGGAGTTCGTCACCAAGTAGCTCACCACCAGGCAGTTCACCACCAGGTAGTTCACCACTAGGTCAAATGACGAGGTACTTAGCCAAAAAAATTGATACATCACAAAAAATTGGTACGTGACCAGAAACGGTTACATCAGTTTCTATCCCATCTTTGGAAGCCTAGAGTCAGTGGAGAGTGTTTGAGTCCAGCCATAGCTGAGTAAGAGTTTTTTCAAGCCTTGAGTAGCCAAAATGGAAGGTATGTGCCTATTTGAATTTCTCTTTAGTTTTAAAATGCTCAGAGGTGAATGTTAAGCCGATTTCTAACAAATTTTTCTACAATACTTGGGCTGCAAATTGTATTCATTTGTCTGACCTCAAATACAAATCCAATCAGGTTGGTTGCGATTCGAATTCAACGGATGAAATCATGAAATATGGACTATCCTCAGTCAAATAATTTACAAATTACTTACTATGAATCTATTGATAAACTTGGTTTATTTGTAATATGTTTATTACAAGTCTCATAAGAATTATTTTTAATTTATTTGTTCATTATATAAAATATTGGTTCATTTTATTAATAATATAAAATATAGACCAGTGATTTCCAATTATTTTGCACTTTAGGCTCAGTTTGGAAAGTGTGCAAATACAAATATGTACAGTACAAATGCATACAAAATATAAGGTTTTGTACTCTACAAATTTGTATTTGTACTCCTTCCAAACTGAGCTTTAAAGAGTAGACTACCTGCTTCCAACTGGTGTGCCATGAGCATAACAGTGTTGGCATGGATTTCAAAAAGTCAAAACTCTTTCTAGGAATCAAATTAATATTGAATCGACCTCTAATTGGTCTTGAAGCGATTATTTTATCCAATCTGTTATTGGGGGATCTGTTTCCAAATTCCTAGAATAAGGAATGCCAAATGCAGCCTTAGTATTGAAACTTTAGTGCAAAACAAGCTTATTGATATGCCACATTCATTTAAGATCTCCCTCCCTTTTGATGCTCTATGCTATATTACCAAAGGGTATACCTGCACAACAGAAGAGGGTGTTACAACTTCAATGTTAAATACTCTAAAATTCTAGACTGAAATTTGCTGGGTAGGAATTCTGATGGAGACAACAAACATGTGGCTGGTTGGTTCGTAATATAATAACAAGGTTAGCAGTTTTTAACGAATCAACTTCCCTTCATCTCTTTATCATCAAGCTTGATAAGGTTATCATTTTTGATATGTAGGTATTTGTTCCCCCTTCTTTATGTACTCTTTTCAAGATGTTCTGGTTTTATATCTGTTGAGTCTGGATTAGCAATGATGAGTAGCTGCTGAATTTCAAAAAACCCTACAACATGTGTTGGGATGCTTATTCTAACTGTAAGCAATCCTTGTTTATTCTCACAAAAAGAGTTCACAGGTGAACTGTTGTTGCCTCAGCTTGTCCCCGAACATACATTGAAGTTTTATCACTTCTATTAGCCTTAATATGGTTATGAGCCTTACTCTTTCTTTTTTGTTTTTCCCCTTTTTTTTTCAGAGTAATAACTGTAGGACTTCAGTAATTTAACAAAAGAGAATCCACCCATTCCTTGGCTCTTGTCATTCTTACAAACAAAATGACCTATTTGGTGAGCCAGGAAATTTTGTAATTAGTTATAATTTTCTATGCATAATATTTACTAAATTAAAGAACTCCATAAGATTGATCACTTGGTCCTTCAAAGGTTTTTGTAACCAATTAGGTGAATCAAACGTACTATTCATACTATTTACTAGGCCCAATGCATCAGAGTAGATATTGACCTTCCTGATACCCCCCTTCTGCTAGCTTCCTGTAATGCCTTGATAAATGACCACCACTCAGCTTCTGCTTCTCCTCGAACCCTGCAAGTATATCCTGCTTCACATATAATGTAATTCTTTTCATTAAACAATACAAAATCTGCAAGTATATCCTACTGTGCATATTCTGAGTTTAGTAAAGTAGACTGATGGATGGAAGGTAGATACTCTTGCCTACTGTAGCAAATGAACAGGATGCAAAAGGGTATCCTGTATTATCATGAACAGTTGCATCCATGGCAATTTTTGCTCTTTGTTGAAGTATTCTGATGCCAGAATAGAAATATTTGAAAGATTTCCTTGTTTTGTTACATCTCAGGATTGACACCAATTTGAGCCAAGAGGAACACTGCTCGAGCATATGGGCAGGTGAAGAACAAGTGGACCACTGTTTCCTTACTTTGATTGCACAGGACACAACTTTTCTCAGCTTCTGTGATACCACCAAACTTATTTTTTGTGCTTCTTTGGAGATTTACATTTTTAAATACATTTCATTGACAAATCGAGATCATCTTTGTTGTTCCTCCACCCTCAAATTGGCTTGAATCCGTCAGACTCGTATAGCTTTGCAATATATTTCTGTTTAAACAAAATTGTGTGTGTGAGTCCTATTATTAAGGCAGCATTTGGGGTGTTGCAGACTTGCAGAGCAAATTTATTTGAATTGATACAAAACATGGTAGTGCAAATGATTTGGGTGCAAATTCTGATTCATTTTTGTTTCAAATTTTATCTTATTTTGTTTGGTTGAAGTACAAATGAGGTAAAATAAGACCCAATGCAGAAGATAAAACTCAAAATAAAATTAAACCAGAATTTGTATTCTTTTCATGTGCACTCTTATAAATTTGTACTAGTGCAAATAAAATTGTTCTGCAGCCTAAAATAAATTGCCTTGCCATTTATCTTGCACTTGTGTAGCTCTCATTTTTTCTATAAAAAAAAAACACCCATCACCAGCTTTATGCAAGAATTACTCCCTTCACAATGATTAATTTGAGACAAAGTGAGAAAGGGGGATGAGGCAGAAATGATGATCAATCCATCGAGAAATTCCTTGCAATAATGAAAAGTTGAAAACAATGAATTAGAGCCAGGAGCCAGCTCCAGCTTAGGATTGCTCAATAAACAATTCAAATGTGTTTACCCCTACGAAAATGGAATATACTTTAAATATTTTTATTTTCTAAATAGGACGAGGCCCACTTAGTAGCCGACCCCTTGTTTTGGATGATGATGAGTAATGAAGTGGAGGACGAGGCCCGCTTAGTTATATATTATAATAATAGTTTGTGGTTCTCATCCAAGCCATCCCACCCCTAAGTGTTTGTAATTGATGTAGTTTTCTTGAAAAACTTCAGTCACATCAGCATCACGTTTGAAATTTATTTTTGCAATTTACACCTGATGCTGGTTTATAAATTTTTTCGAAAAACGTTTTTTCAGATCAGGTCTTCGAAATTGGAAAAAGTGATATAATAAAACGTTCTTTTTTTGTGTTTTCTCATTTTTTTTTTCCTTTTTATTATGGCTAGCAATAGTATGCGGATGTGATGTTCAAAAATGTCTATGTGACAGCATCCAGCAATGGTCCCAAACAAAAGAAATTAAAAAAGAAAAACGTTTTTTTTTTTTTTTTTGTTTTGAGAAAACGGCATGTTATGAACAACCAAGCACTTCTCAGAAAATGGCGTTAGTTCCAAACATTAATTGCCCTCAAGAAAATGGTAGAAAATCCAATGAATCAATGTTGTCAGACTAATAGGAGAAGACAGATGCTCATTTTAGAAAAACAAAATTCAAGTACAAATATATACAGTATAAATATAAACTTTAGAAATACCATACACATATTTGTATTTGCATTCTTTCTAAACTAAGCCTAAGTTTTTAAATATTGAAATATATGGTATGATATGTATTGTGTACTTGTTTTTTGAGGGTTGATATGCTACCACATGGGTTATTTCAGCTCTCTAATTTCCTTGATTTATTTTAGTGTAAGGGTGTAAATGGATCAAATTCAAATCGAATTAATCAACATCTAAATTCAATTCGATATCCAACGGATATTGAAAATCAATGTTTGAATTCAAATTTAATTAAATATTCTAACATTTAATTTGATTTGAATTCAACCGATTAATTATTTTAACTAATTAATAAATATATAAAAATAAATATTTTATTTATATAAAGTATATAAATATATATTATATAAAATATTTAAATATTTTATATAGTATATATAAAAATTAAATAATTAGTCAAATTCAAATATTTATTGAATCGAATCATGTCATATTTGAATTCGATTGGATTATATTTAATCTCGAATTCAAAATCGGATTTTCAAATACCGTTGACACCCTATTTTAGTGTACCTTTTATTTGACTAAATTACCAATTAATCCCTGTTAATTACCACTCTCAAAGAAATTTAAAAAAAAAAAAAAAGACTGGTAATCTGATATCACTTGGTCTCCTTGATTTTAAATGGCCTTGCAAGCAGCATTCTTTTTCCTCAATTAACATATATGCAGTGTAAACATGGTAAAACGTTTTGGAACTAAATCTTGTTAGTTAGTGAAAATTCTGACAATGCCAAACTATAAATCATTATCAAGCTATATTACTCTTGCAAGCAGCTTTCTGCTTCTCTGTTGTTTTCTATCAAACCAAATACAGCCTTAATAAATCCCTGGTATTGGATGCACCTTTACTTTCTTCTTTTTTGTGTCTGCTCTTGGAAATCCAACAGAATACAAATAGTTTAATTCCTCTTTAGTTAATTATTAATTCTTCGAAATTGGTCCCACTAAGAGATATAAGGTCTAACTAACTGATTATCTTTAATCATCTTGTTGATCAAAATAAATTTAGATATTTCCTCCAAGACCACTCACCTAATCTGCATTGTCCCATTATCAAGCTAATCAACATCTCAACTGTTGAATCACATTGATACAAGTGTAACACTCTACAATGTACAAGACCACATGAAATCCCCAAGAGCACAAAACAACCAAATCCTAGAGAATTCTATCCTCTGCAATGAAAAATAAATGAATGAACAAATAATGAAATCACCCTAGAAGACAAACTAACACTACAAGCACCAAAAAACAATTAAGTTTCCCCTGCAATGTCCTCAAAAACATGCCTAAAGAAACAGATCCTGACGTAGCTTGAAGATCTCCAGCTTCCTTAGGATTGCTGAAATTTGATGGAATCACAGTATCTGGCACCGGATTATTGTCGTCAACAATGGGGCTCATCGGAGGTGGTGCTTCAGCTGGTTGGTCCTTCAGACTTTCCGGCAATCCCTCACCATGTGTGACATTTATTTTGAAGCGTTGGCCATGCTTGCATTGCTGACCATCATAATCACCAGAAAAGAAATATGTCCTCCCTTCTTTTGTGAGAGGAACAGCAATTGCTACTCTTTGAGGAGCTACTGCAGATGGGTGTGTAGCTGACCATAGAATGGTGTCGTGATCATTAGCATTTGCATAATCGCACCGCTTGTATGTCGTGAAGTTGTATGTTTGGACAACTGAGTGGTTATTATCAGTATGAAAAACTGCATTGGAGGCAAAAGCTTGAGTAAACAATTTACAGGCCAACACTGAGTGACAGTAAATCTAGGAGAGGAGTCATGAACCGTAGAAGACTGTTTATAAACGAGATATCACATACATGGCACATCAGTACATATAGTGGTAAAGGATGCAAGAACAATTCCTCAGCCACCTATGGTCTATCATGCTAGCTGTGAAATCTACACCTTTGCTACGGATAAGATGCTTGAAAGGCTGACTTTATAGTCCTTAAGGCTCAGTTTGGAAGGAGTACAAATACAGATATGTACATTGTAAAACCTTACATTTTGTATTATTTTGTATCTATTTGTATTGTCCATATTTGTATTTGTACTCTTTCCAAACTGAGGCTAAGTCTCATACCATATACTCTATTTACATTTACTTCTGCATTTGGATTTCAAGAGTGGAAATGTGGAATGGATTTCAATTTTACTCTGATTCAATATCTTCAAAATGAACTGACTAGACCTTTGGGAGGAACTTTAAATAGGAACTTGAATTCTGCTAATACCCAGAATTCAAAGTTTGTCCATGTTTTTATGAATTCCACAATGCCAAAAAAATGTCCAAATGATAGGAGTCCAGAGATCTGAGGAATTGGCAAATCCAATTCCGCCTTCAATGCCAAAATCTACTGTAATCCAAAAATGCAAGCTAAACTGTATATAATTTCACACAACTAAACATTTTTGGCCTACAGAAATGGATGAAATTCTCTGAGATGAAACTATATCCAATACTTGGGGTTTCTTCAAGCAAATTGCAGAGCACTAGAGGAAAATTGGAACAAATGAGAATCGGGAAATATTTGTCTGCTACTATAGGAAAAGAACTGAAACTAAAGTGAAATTCGATCAATGCAAATCCTGAAAATACATTCGTTTCTTTCCCCTTCAAAAGCTTGCTTAGTCGAAATTGTATAGCCAAAGGGCAGAGAAAATAAAAAAGCAAAACGAAAATCTTCAAATGGGTAGACAGAATTGCTCGTAAGAGTGCTATATCGCTGCAGACATCAAAACTGCAGGTCTTCACAATTTTATAAATTCAGATGCAAATTACCTCAAATGGGTATGACTTATTTCTCCAGTCAGATACCTTTCATGTTTTTCTTCAATTAGTTATTAATTTCCTTCACCAAAGAAGAAACACCAAGTGAAAGGTAGTGAACTGTGACAAACAACAGATACAGAATGTGCTACAGAAAGACCAATCAATAGAGATCATGGAGATTCGATAGAGAATTGTTGTCATAAGCTAGACAGAGAAACATCTAAACATGGAATTGTGCTTTATGGTTCGTATTGACTTACTGAGAAAATCTCCCAAGCTGAAGTTCTTGCCAGCAACCCACTTTTGGTAATCAACCTTGGGATTCTGAAGTTTGTCGTACCAACCCAAAGAGTCGCCAACTGTGTAGTTCTTGTAAGCTTCGACAGATCCTAAAAAGGAGAGGATCAGTGCACAGAAGAGGAAGAAGGATAGAAGACTTAATCCGGAAATTCTTCTTCTCTGTTCCATCTTTCTGAGCTTCGAGAAACTGGGAATGGAGATTGGCCTTTTGAGGAATAAAAGAGAACGAACTGAAGATGATAAAAGATTCGCTTTCAGAATGACCTTACTTTTCGTTACAATTACCAAACCGGCTTTTGCGTAAACCAGTGAATCGAATGGTTGCAGGTGTAAATTTGCATTGAACTAGAACATGTGTTGATTAATTTTTTGGCATAAAAAAATTAAAGAAAATTTAATTTTTCATTTATTATCAAATAGATCCATTAAGTCAAAACTCGTTGAATTAATCTATCAAACTAGTTTACAGTCGGGTCCGGTAGCAAACTAGTAATAGCATTTTGGGCTGCTTGGGCCCAGCCCAGCCTGCACCAGGCCTGATAATATGTCTGGGCCTAAAGTCCGGATCGGACTTCAGGCTTGTCCATATGAATTAATAAAATTATATCTAAAAAATTTAATTTTTAATCTAAATTTATATTTAAATTTGCAAAAAAATGATATATATATATATATATATATATATATATAACCGAACCAACTAATCCGATTATGTCAGTTCTGGTTTGATGGTTATATTTTAATTAGCAATTGGGTCTGGACTGATTCTTGTCTTGAACTGTTTATATAGTTAGTAATATATAATAGTTTTCTTTTTTCATTTTTCTTGTAATTTTTGTTATATTTTATGACCAAGAGGGTAAATTTCATAGATAACAAATAAGATAATTTTGATTAAAAATACTTGTTTTATCAAACATATAAACAGTTTACTATGTTATCAGCATTTTTATTAAGACTATATAGTTATATAATTGGGGCGGTTTCTGTTGATAATCGATTTGGCATCCTGTCCCGAACCAGACCCGACCCGATCCATTGACAGCTCTAGATGTCTGAGCCTAAAATTTTAGGGCCGTGGGAGTCAAACAGGTAGCGTTGTAACTTGCAAGTGGCAAAAAACGCAAATAATAAGCAGATTGTGAACGAGGTGTAAAGTAGTGTCGGTGAGTTTAGACAACCAGCATGTGGTTGGTTCATTAGCTGGATGATTTAAATCATTGCCTTGTACCCTTTGCTTTTTCTATGTTGTTTTTATCTCCATTAAAATATCCCTACGGTTCTAAACGTGATCTATTTTGACCATCACCCTCCAGACTCCAGTCAACGAATCAATTCTTTGATTGACCTATCAGCACCTACCGATCTCATGACTTTGTCATTTTGACGATTGAGACGATTTTGACCAACCTTGTGGGCCACCGCATAAAAAAAACTGTTAAATCCAGGGGGAAGAGTTTGATTTGTTGCGATTAGAACACCTCAACCACCTCGTCGGGGCAACCTCAACAAAATCGGACGGTTGAGAGCTTTCTCTTAAGTCTACTCAGCGCATTACCCTTAAGTGCCCGTTGGGAGTCTACTCCCAAAATAGCTGCATCAATCAGAAATGGGCTCTGTTGAAACTTTTTTTAATGACTTTTTCAAAGTAAGAATATCCATATGATACATCCCATATTAGATGTATTGTGTATCTAAAGGGTCCAATTCATTTCGACTAATGGAAATACGCAGAAGTCTTGGGGTATTTTGATCCGTGCTCGAAAACAGTTCAATCAAAGTTTTAGCCTTTCCAAGCGGGCCCTATACCACTCGACGTCGAGTGGATTCATATCACATACATTTCTTTGTTCCCTATTCATTGTACTGACAAAAGTTTCCTCTATTGGGGGCCCATTACAGCCCATTCGTATTTGACAAAATGGGTAGGTGAGAAGGCTTCTCACCTGACACTAAAATTATAGAACTCCGATCAGGAGAGAGAGCACTCAACAAATTTTGTGACACCTGTTGCATAAAACACCCTTAAATAAAAGTCTAAGATGTGTCAGAATATTTATGGAGTGATTACTGAATGTGCTCAAAATGGTGTGACTACTGAATCCGGTCTGAAAACATATTTCCTATAGTTGACACCATTTTGACATTTTGTTCTTTATACGTGTGAGTGAATAAGATTTCCATCGACCCAAGTCATTCAAATAACTCTTGATCATTAAAATATCACTCTAAGATCTGTCAATTAACTAAAACCATCCAAAGAGTTTTCCAAGATTTCATCTAATCAACCCTATCCAAATGATTTACCAAATAATCCCAACTAAAAATATTCTCTTAAATATGAATGAATTAATCTCAACCATCTAAGTGATGTACAAAAGTTTTGATCTCAACTATACAGTAATGTATGAAAATATCTAAACAATCTCGGCCATATAATGTAGCATGCCAAGTAAAACTTAAGATTTTAACCATCGAATAGGCTTCTTGAAATCAGTTAATTAATCTTTTTAGATGTATCAAAGTTTCATCTAATCTAGCGGTCTAGCCCATTTAAATAAAGTACCAAGATTTTATCTAATCTCAGCCAGCATGAAGATTTCTAAAAAATCTAGGTCATGTAAAGTTAAAAAAAGCCAAAAAAAATATCTGATACCCGGATGGTGTATCAAAATTTCATCTAATCGTAATTTAGTCCATCTAAATGATGTGCCAGATATGTTTTCAGAAGATCAAGATTGAAATACCTTTTAATAATATTAATGCAAATGAGCATAAGTATCCCACAAATCAAGAATATGGATGTTTTAAGATTTTTAAAAATATCTGATATGGCATATAGGCATATTCCACCCATTTCTTTAACGAAATGCATCAAAAATTAATACAGTGGTTTATGTGACAACTGAGTAAAAGTTGGGGGTAGGGGATATCAAACACATAAAATAGTTTAGGGAGTCAAATTATAAACAGCCCAAACCATGGGGAGGGGGTCAGGTGGAGTTTACTAAAAAGTTAAAATGACAGCTAGGGAATGAGCCATCTCAAGAAAATACATACAGTACCAACTGATGTCAACATCTATATTATAATAAGGGGGTCTGCTTACAGCAAAAAAAACTATTCCAACACGTTCCAACATGTTGTCACAGGTTAGGTTTGCAGTGGAAGAAACTCGTGCGATGTCTGGGTCATGTGCGACTAGAATAAGTCTGATCTATGTGTAAAGGTCATGTTTTGACCCGACGATAGTTCCGCTAAATTTAATGGCATTGGATCATGACCTTGTGGCTTATGGCTAGGGCTGTTCATAAGAATGCCCAACCCGACCAACCCGGACCGAACCCAACCCGAGTCGGTCGGGTTTTCATCCGTACTGGTCGGTTTCGGGTTGGGCACATACATAAACCAAAATCTCGGGTCGGTTTTGGTTTTCTTGCGTGAAAACCGAAACCAACCCGACCCGAACCGAACTAGTATTCTACTAGTTTRGTAGTTCCTACTTCCTAGCTTGAGTAGTTTCCTAATTCCTAATAGTCTTCTACTTTTAGACTTCTACTAGAACTAGAACTCTAGAAGGCCCATTAGGCAATTACAATTAGAATTCAATTAGGTGTCATTTTTTAGTTTTTTACCTATATTAGAATTTAGAAGGTTTCTAAATTTTTTTTTATTGATTTACCTACCTAGATTTACCTAGTTTTTTACTCTAGAAGGCCCATTATTGACACTTGTTTTTACATGAAGAATTTATTTGGCTTTGTACAGGAGCAAAACCGAAACCGACCTAACCCGATTCAAACCGACCAAGTCAATTTGGCCTGTCAGTGGGTCGGTTTCGATTCCCACCTTAGCTAACCCGACCCGTGAACACCCCTACTTATGGCCAAAGCTATTTATGGCTCTTGCTGGTCCATGGGAGGTGCCTCTTATTACGTGCCAAAGGGGGATCACTATGGTGTATGGAAAATATGTGCCGATGATGATAGACAACCACTTGGTCCTGAGAACAACCCATACTTTGTGAGCAACGGGGTAGCTCAATTAACTTAGACACTGGGCTGGTGTGGTGTAGGGTCATGCTTGGGCCAGGCCCATGTGCAAAGCCACCCTTCAGTGTGTGTTGGGCAATGCCAGTCCATGCACTATCCTTATGGGCGTGTATGTGCCCATAAGGAATCTTGGTAGCCATACTAGCTATTAACCAAGGCTGCACCAAAAGGGATGTTGGTCTTTGGAGTGTCAAGGTTAGGCACCCAAGGATAGGCCTATAAACGGAGCGAATTCGAATCGAATCATGTCATATTCAAATTTGAATTCGACTATAAAACTGATTATTCAAATTTGAATTCGATGGATATTAAAAATTAAAAACTAAATTTGAATTCGACTAGATAGTCAAATAATCGAATATTCGATTAATTCAAAATTGATGGATTACGTCCTAATTCTTGAAATCCAAGAATGAGCCCTCTTGTTTAATGAATTATAGAAAAAATCTTAGCTTGTTTTCTTTGAATGAACAAATGATATATGTTGTTTCTGTAAACGAAGAAGACGAATGAACAAGGGAAAAGTAGAAAAGAAAAACAAAAAACCAAATAAAATCTAGAACAAACAACGAAAAAGATGGACAAAGAACAAGGAGAAAGCAAGAGAGGGAGGGGGAGAGAGAGGGAGAGAAAGAGGAGAAGAGGAAGTGACTGCGACATTTTTTTTTTGTTTTCCATAAAACAAATGGATGATAGTTGCATCTATGCTATTCATTTACTGTGAAACTCTCTTTTGTTTCATTGATACATGACATTTTCTTTCAATATCCGTTTTTCCTTTTTTTTTTTTTTGAAATCTCTTCCATGAAAATCAGCAAAACCAAACGTTGGGGAGAAATTCAATGTAGGGGAATGAAAAAATGAGAGATACAAGGGAGGGAAATGGGGGGAGGTGAAACAGAACAGGTTGAAGTAATTAATGCACTTTTATCACCTATCAACTAATGAAAATATAAGTATGTATTGAGTGGTCTTATCATGTAGACAATTAGTTCTTTTTTTTCATATTCAAATAAGAGTATATAATAATATAATATAAAAAGTTAAAAGACACTTGACCGAGGTTTTAACTTTTAAGACGCGTATCTTTCTTTTATACTATATTATTATAATAATCAAATTCGGATAATTATTGAATCAAATCGACATGTATTCAAATTCGATTTGATTATTTAATCGGTGTAAAGCATATATTCGAATTCGACTGTTTGCGTTGTTTGA